GAACATTGTTTCACTTTCAGGTCATGGCTAGTCACTCATGTTTATCCACCCGGAAGTACTCTAGCGTCTATTGTTTAGAAATAATGAAACGTCCGACACATAAATGAAAGCACACACAGTAGCTTAGTTGTACTGCAGAGACCAAGGGAGAACGTGGGATTTTTCAGGTCCACTTGTCGAGGAAGTTTTGCTCCATCTCCCGTTTCCTGGTCCACCAAGCGTTGTTTCAGACCATAAAGATTACATTGGCCCTTCAATTAAACCCCTGAGGCTCTCTCCCTTTTCTACGCATTTCAAGTAAGCTTTTAATTCAATTACATACGATTCCTGCGTTCAGGTTGGCGTGCGTCGTAAAGCTTGACAGTCAATGCTAAAGCAAGATGTGGAATGTGGCGCGGGACCGAAACGGACCATTGGGAAAATAACGGGGCATAGATGGACGCTCGTGGATCCTAAAGTTCAATTACAAATGGCTTTGATTTACGACAGAACACATTTCTGTGCGGTAAATCTCTCATCACTGTTTTTTTTTTTGTTTTGTTTTTTTATAAGCATAAAAAGTGCTGCTTTTTCAATATTTCAGTTCAGGATTGCCGCTAGTGCTGTTGGCAAATAAAACCGAAAGAAATCAAACTCTGTTTCGTGACGCTGGTCAATGACGTATACAGAAGTATGAGCAAAAAATATATTTGAATATTGGGGGAGGGGGCATGTAATGCTGGACAGGAAAATATTCAAAAATATTTTTTAGTCCAACTTTAGCTTCATTCTGTGCACATGCATGGTTGTTTATGTCTTTAATTGGCCTTCGTTTGATGTTCCACACCACTGCACTTAGCACTTCGAGACTTGGTAATGAGACACCATTTTAGACTTAAGGCTCACCTCATCTTGTTTGTGTTTACCGCACCCGCACAGCATCTGTTAAAAGAACTCGTATGTCTCCTTGGCCTTGAATGCACTGTTGGCCACGCTATGTTTAGTGTTTACCCGCTGCCCTCTGAAATGGATGCGCTCGTTTATTAAAAAAAAAAAAAAAAAAAAAAAAAAAAAACATTCTCCGGTTTCCGATCACGCCGCCCTCCGCTCTCTAATCACAGCGCTAATCGCAAGCGCTCGCTAGCCTGGGCCTTGCTATGTTCAGTGTTTACGACACCGCGCAGATGCGGGCCTGACGTTTGGTCGCTCCATTCGAATTGACATGTTAGCGCATGCGCGAGAATGCTACTTTAGGCTTTTATAGCGAGGCTCCTTTCACTAATTGACACACTTGGGCCCTATTACGAGCTACATAGTTAACAAACTTGAACACCTTTTGTTTGAATCAGCGGTTATCATGCACAATTGTGACATGCAGTTAGCTAGCTAGTGAGGCGTCACTAGCTAGCTAATGAGGCGTCACTAGCTCGCTTCGTTTTGGAAAGTCTTCCATCGTGGGCGCATCGTTGGGCAGGCGTGAGTGTGTGCATGTCGCACAGAGAAAGCAACACAATCACTAGCTAGCTTCCTTTTGGAAAGTCTTCCATCGTGGTCGCGTTCGAGCGCATCGTTGGGCAGGTGTGAGTGTGTGCATGTCGCACAGAGAAAGCAACACAGATGTGAAGCCATTTTTATCAGGATTTTGAGCTCTAGTTTTTTTTTTAATCACCACTCAATGGTACATTTGAGTTTGTGTTCAATTCATGATGCGGAAAGACCGAAGCTCCAATTCTCCCTTCATGCACGTTTGTGGGATACAAAGGCAGTCAAATTACAACCCGCAGGTTCAGAGTTCAAGGCCAGTTACTCACTGCAGCGTGTGCGTTGAATGGCTGTGTGCTGGAGTGATGAAACGTTTTGTGTTCGGGAAGGCACTGGAAGGGTGTTGGGAGGGTGTTTTCACGGATGGTCGGGCATGTGACGGAAGACGTTGACCAGGAATTTGGATATCCGCGCATAGAGAAAACAAACTAGCGGCAAGACAAAGTGGCGACATGGGAACGTCTCGTCCGCCCATCTGGAGGAGATTGTCAACAGCCCGACGTGTCATGGCCCACAATTAAACTTTCCGAGTTGATTTTGACACCTCAAAGCAGAATTCTGTTGATTTTGATTAACACGCTGTTGAGGCCTTTTTGCGCTATTGCTAATTGTCGACTATGAGCAATAAGGTTTAAAGATTAAATCTTTTTTTTTTTTCACAAACATCCTGTACAGGATTCATATTTTATTGATCTGAGATTTTTCGGAGTGTAGAAGAGGTGTAACATTAATTCTTTCAACTGGATTCATTCCCAACTTCCCCTGCACTCTTTTGGGGCTCCAGATGTTGATGTGTGAAGTCCCATATATGTGTATATTTTTTTCGTATCAAACCCATAATGCATTTCACATTGCCCATGAGTCACCCAAGTGTGATGGACATGTGGAAGAAGGGCGGTGGGAACGTCGTGGACCAAAAAAAAAAAAAATCATAAAAGAGGCCATGACGTTGTTCTATTTCAATTACCGTGTGCATGTGTGGCTTGAGATGGAGTGTGAAGCATGTTTATTTGGTCATGGATGTAAAACGGATGGAAAGGTGTGGGCAGCAGCAGCACTGGGAAATGATATCACTCACACACATACGCGTACACTACGGTCAGTGCTGTGGCGGTTCTGGCTCACGCTACATTAGCATCCGAACGCCGTGTCCTTCCCTGCTGCGAGGTCGGTCGTGGGAAATGAAGGCAGGCAGGAAGTCATCTCGGCGCGTACCAGAAAATGGAGATTCAAATAAAAGGAAGAAGAAAAACTCGATGTAAAATGTTGTCTTTCTCGATCGGGTTTGCGTTGGCAGTGCACCGTAAAGTAAACCCTCGCCAATTTGTAAATCCAAATTCTGTAAAAGGATAAACCACTTCTTTACGCCTGACCTCATGACTGTGATTTAAAAAAAAAAACAAAACACAATTTTGCTGTTCGCAGCAGGTCTCAGTCGCAAATAATGTTTGTAATTGCATTTCTATATGAAATAGTTTCAACTGTAATTGTCGCCCCTTCAAAAACGGACACAGCCTGAGCAAAAAAATAGGTGAGTCCAAACAGACTGCAGCCAGGAAGCAAAACAAGGGCCCTCACGTTGCCATGTTGTTACTTGTGAAATCAGTGACGGTGCTGCTTCCTCCTCCTCCTCCTCCTCCCGCCCGACCGCATCTGATGCGATGAACAGTCCCGATAGTCTCGCTTCGCCGCCAGCGTGCACGCTCCCAGCTCATGGACACAGATTATTTGCGTCCTTTGGCGCCCGTCTGCGGCTCCGGAGCTGACTGTGCGTCACCCGGATGCTGAGGGTGCTGACAGAAAAGAGGGATATTGATGTTTGGGAGCGGGGAAGGGTTTGGTGAAGTGAAGTCATTTCCCTCCCCCGTTCGCATTTTATCTCCACGTTTTTGTTACACAGCGGGATTATGTAAGAGGCATTTCATTGGAATTTTCCAATGAAATGACAGTTGTTTTTGTTTTTTTCTAGGTGTGAACTACAACGGCGGCCTGCAGGATACAGTGCACTCTTTTTTTTTTTTCTTCAACATAAGGCCTATTTAATTTTTCATGTCTCATGACATGTAGTTATCCAAATATTAATATTTCAATTTTTAGGGTAGTGCTGTACTGGTTCGGAATCACACAGAATCTCCCATGAGATCACTTTTTTAGTGACCTTTTGAGTAACCTACCTATCTAGCTAGCTATTTTTTTAAAACCCTGGAGAACCCACGGGGTCAAATTTGGCCCCTATAAATTCTGCTACTGAAATGCTACCCTTAAATCCCAAAGGGTCAAATTTGGCCCTAATCCTAAATGAGGATTAAAGCATTAAATATTTGAAAAAACATATATTTTGGTGTTCAGTGAACATATAGCAGTCATTTAATGTAAAATTCATCATTTTCCAAAGAAGAAAAGGGTTCTTGGGTTCTCCAGGGTTAACCTACCTCTAGAAAGTATTCATAGCGATGCACTTTTTTTCACATTTTGCACTGAATTCATTTCCCCCCCACCCCCTCTCAAAATTCTACGCACAACATATCCTACTGACAAAAATCAACAACTTGTTTCAAAGTAAACCTGCTGAAAGAGGTTCGGGATGATCCATGGGATGGACCTGAAGCAAAGGCTCTCAATGGATCATATTTATTTAATATTCAATTATTATTCAATATTTAATTTCAAAAAAAATCCCCCCCCCCCAAAAAAAAGAACTTTATCAATGTGTGCGTGCGTGTGCCCACATGGTTTTCCCATAGGGCTTTTACAGCCTTTTGCTGTGTAACCAACCATCTGTCCCGTTCTGGATTTGTGTGTTTAAGAACCACTGACAGTATTTCCCCCCCCCCCCCCCCCACCCACAACCTCCTCACATGCCCTCATACAGTACCCTCGCCAAAATAATGCACACTATGGGAGTTACCTTCATGTTATTTCATCCTTCTTTGAGAAACACACTCATGATTCTGTTTTCTATTTGATCCGACTCGCGCACGCGGTGACAGCTGATTGGTCGCCGCCATGATGCTTGGTGTGTGTGTGTGTGTGTGTGTGTGTGTGTGTGTGTGTGTGGGTGTGTGTTGTGTTTAACAGGCAGGCCCATTTCCGCCGCTAGCAGCGTGGATGTTTTCGTCTGCTTTAAAGCCCCCGTGGAAATCCAATCTGTGGTTCCTCCTCCTCCTCCTCCTCCTCCTGCGAGTGCAATCAAAATACACTTGTTTAGGCTTGGTGGACATTTCACGCACGTTACCAGGGACTGGTAGCATTTGGGGCAAGGTGATTGCGTTAAGGGGGAGGAGGGAGGGGGGTCTTAATGGAGATTTGGAGAGAACCTTCTGGATCTGTCAAGATGAAGTGATTTCAGCAGATGGGCTTTGTGTTGTGGAGTTAGTCCCTTATGACCGTATAAATATAAGATTTAAAAAAAAAACTTTGTCTCACAATAATCATCATTGTATTACACATACATACAAATGTAAAATTATCTCCTGGAAGTAACCCGAACTTTTTTTTTTTTTATGTCTCTAATTATAGCGCACTCCTGACACACAAATGATTACTAGAGACTTTTTAGCCCCCCAGGGTGTTATTTTCCCATGAATAAAAGAAGAAAACTACTCTTACAAGCATATGACATGTTCTTGTGCCTTCACTTGATGATGCCTTGCAAATTATTTTGTAGGCTTCTCCAGCTTGATACTTGGGGAAAATGAGTGATCCCTCCGATGCTGTGATGCCGCTCTGCGGGCAGTGGCTGGTGCAGTAAGATGTGACCTACAAAAACGTCAGGGAAAGCCTCCCCCAACATCTGAAGTTTATTCGGGTCGGTGTGTGCTTACACTCATTTTACATGACTCTGAATTTGATTGCTCCATTTATTCTCAAGACGGTTACAACACAGAGGGGGTGCACACTTGTGCAACCACATTTTCTCAAAAGTTTAAAAATAAGAGACTTTTTAGCTGCAAAATTGTAATTTAGGGTTAGCCTTTCTCTTACTGGTCATGTGGCCGGCCATACAATTGTGTGTGTGTTTGTGTGTGCGTGTGTGTTAATCCCCGTCCTTGTCGGCTGGTCACACATCTGCAGATTTGCACCTTCTGGCCTACAGTAGCCGCTATAATGTGTTTGAGCAGGTACTGAGCCCATACAGTAAATCCTGTCCATGCACTGTAATCGCTGATCAATGCAAAGTGATCGATTGCACGCACGCACGCATCCATCCGTTGCATGTTTGTTTACATGACGCTACGTTGACAGATACTCATACGTAGGCTTTGTACAGATTCGAGTCCCCTTCTTTTGATACATGCGCGCACACACACGGTCTACAGTACGAAGGAGTCATGAATGCGCCGTGCCGGATGTTTCTGTGACCTTTCTCTCTTTTAGGCCTGACCCCAGCGGATGGCCCGAGAGAGGGATTAGGGCCCGATTCGCCTAATTAGCCCCACGACCCCTTCACCAGCCCCCTGCACACCGCCCGTGACTCGCTCACTTCATTAGCGACGCCTGCCCTCGTCACAAAAAATGGGAAGAATAGCAAAGGTAAGTAATTAGCATCCGTTTTGTGGGATTTCACTAAAAGGTTTAAATGTACAGTATTTTTTTTTTTCACGAATAAGTCAAAGTGGGGTGCTCAAAGTCATCAGGGAGCAATATTTTTTATTTAGTCGGCTTTTGTACAAAACAAGTGTGCTGTAAGTACTTTTCTGAAGTGTCTGGAGATTAGCTTTCTTTTGGAATTGATGTTTAAAAAAAAATTAAGGAATGAATGACGATAGTCGGCAATAGTTTTTACAGAATTTTTTTTAAAAAGCACATTTTGGAGATTTCATCAATAACTTTAGATTTCTATTTGTATTGAGGTGATTTTTTTTTTTTTTTTTTTTTTTTTTTACCAAGAGTAGAATACCGCTTAACATAATTATTTCATCTGCGCCCCACCCTCCCTCCCCAGCCCTTTCTTGCCACTATTTATGCGTGCTGACACATCAACAAGTACTCCGTGAGGCGTCAAATCATGAAGTCATCCTTCAAAGGAGAACGCTAATTGTTTGCACTCCTCAGTGCGTGTGCGTGTATGTGTTGTCATACAATAAGCGCGTCAGAAAAGAGGTAACGATGATTTAGGATGCCACTCGTCATGTCGAAATTCCGTCGGGCTAGTTTTTTCCCCCTCTGCATCCCATCGTGCCATAAAGCAGCGTCTGCTTTGGATTGGACAGATGAACTCGTCTGTCTTCACACCCGCGTCCCGTTGGGTTTGTGAAAGAATCCATTTAAAGGCAACATATTGACATTTTTCCCCAATTTATGAGTTGCCTGCTATCTCATTAAAAGTTCTCTGACATCCATTCGCCAAATATTTGTAAACAGAGTTGTCTTTCTGGAGTGCCTGCTCACCCATTAAGTGTAACATTTAACAATCAAGTATGTTTAATTATCAGTCATTGTCTGAAAATATGCCTGTGAATGAATTTTAAGAACCTAAAGAACCACTTGAAGATCGCCGAAACGTGATCATATCAAAAAACCAAAAGCTAAGCAAAGATTAGCGTTCGCTTCTGATCAGAATCTCCGTTGAACGTTCGGCCGAGCTACCTACGTGGTGGGCCGTGATTGACAGCTCTTCCTGGGTGGTAAGCAGACAGTGACAGCTCCGTCACTACGGCAACAAACACGGCAGGTTGACGAGTGGTTCAGCATGCCCCCCCGGGATACATCTCAACACACGTGCACATATTTGTGTGTGTGTGTGTGTGTGTGTTGAATTGGGGGATAGCTGGGTCTCCTGTTGACACGGTCTTCGGGTCGTTGACGTGAACGTCATGGGAGAGTGCTCCCTGAAACTCATGCACAAACGCGCTCACCCGCTTGGTCAGGTCACATTCTCTGCACGGCCATGTTGCGTGGAGTTACGTACTGTCGCTCTAGCCAGTGAGCGTGCTGGAGACGGTCCCAGCCGTCTTCGGGTAGTAGGCGAGGTACACACCCTGAACCGGTTGCCAGTCAATCGCAGGGCACACAAAGACTAACAATCATCCGCGCTCACACTCACACCGAGGGATAAATAAGAGAGCTCTATTAACCTGCCGCGCATGTTTTTGGAATGTGGGAGGAAACCACAGTACCCGGAGAAAACCCACGTAGGCACGGGCAGAACATGCAATTTGTCTTTCCTCTCGTTTTGTTTTTTTCGACGTTATCTCGCATCAGCTCCGCCCACCTTTTGTTTATTTCGGCTCCGCCGCTTCTGTTTATGTGTCCTTCTCGCCGCGTCCATAAATCGCTCTCTCGTTGGCTGTTGAAGTGTGAGGAATGGCACATGTGACGTCTCCTCGCAGCTGCCGTCGCTACCACCCGGCTCCACCGCCGGCAGGCAAAATATACACCGCGCCGCTGCACGTTTTAAACATTTCGGACCCGCTTTGATCTGCACCTACTTTGTCCCCGCGTTGTAAAATCCAGAAAAAAAGATGTTGGGCGTTTATTTTTTTTTCGCGTCCCACACATTTGAACTTAATGAAACGCACGATTTAAACACGTTGAATATGAACATAAAAAAATTTTGGGTTTGAACAGGTTGTGTTTTAAAAAGCGACATCTCAAAAATCACTCTATTGACGCCGGTGTCTGGCGCGACAGGGCGCTTTCAAAACATGACAGGATCGTTCAATTTTAGCCCATGCTAATAGTTGCCGGGTTCAACGGGAGTCTTTGATGTTTTGTTGATGTGTCAGCACGGCTTCACAGCTCATTGACAAATATTTCCTTCGCCGTGCCTTCCTCCCAACCGACCCCCTGCCCTCCCCTCACACACGCCAGAGTGTGATCCAATCGCTGCCGCATGCGTCCAGTGTGCAATGATAAATTCCAAGGTTGTATCCGCGGAGTAACGGGAGCATGGTGGCGCGCGTGTAAGTTGAGGGTGTGTTTTGAATGGTGTCTGGAAAAGCCAATGTTTGCCTCTGCTGTTCTCTGGACTGTTTTTGCTTTTTGACATAAGTACAATTATTAAAGACCACCAATGTGGAATGGGGTCGTGTCACTTTAAGACAAACGGGCTGAATTGTATTTGTTGCAGAGTGTTTCATTCCTTGGGCCCCCCCCCCCAAAAAAAAAGAGCGTGTACTTTGAGCGGTTCTTAATACTGCCCGAAGACAGAGTGCGGGTGGTGCCATGCACGGTGAGCAGAAAGCTCAGCAAGGTGGTGTCTTGCTAATTAGCGTTTTTATAGCGGGAACATAAACCGGTGAATTGGTCTGCGTGAGTGAAGTGAGGCCCCATTAAGCAGTTCAGTCGTTGCTTATTGTCACTTAAGGCGGTCGTCATCGTCGCCTGTTGAGATAAACAAGTGGTGATTTTTTTTTTTGTTGTTGTTGTTTACTCAGCACATCCTGCTTTTACCCCGACACCTTTCCCGACTTTCACTCTCGCTCTGCTCCTTCACCTCCCCCCCCCCCCCCCCCGCCTCTTCCTCCTCCTCCCGTTTACACTCGGCCACTGAATAGTGATCATGTCTGTCATTTCATCAGCTCTTTGCGCCGCTCTGCACTATTGAGATTGATGAGCTGCTCGGCTATAAATGACTTTGACACACTATACGCACATGCAGGCATGTATGTGGGTGTTGGGGGGTGAGGGGGGGGGGCACGATGAGGCTTTGTTTTGGTTACGAAAGAGTGAGGCATCCAAACAAACCCACCAATGCAATCCTAAGGTACCCCCCCCCCCGAGTAGTAAATACTGACTACTCCCACCTAGAGGAATTGAGGTTTGCTGAATCGAAGAATAGTTCAGTAAAACCCAGTAGTTCTTCCGCCAGCTTCTTACCAAGATGTGTCGATAGTTGTGTGCTTCCAATTGTGCGAGCACACTTTTGGCAGAGCCCCCCCTGTCCTGAGTTCCAAGGTCCTTCCTTTAAAGGCACGCATGGATGACTTTGGTGTGGAAAAATGGAGCCAGGTCCGCTTACCTCGTAAAAGGACAAAATTCCTCACAGAGTCGCTTTAAAATCGTGAGGAATCTGGAAGAACGGAAACCGATGGAGCGGCAAACTCCACATTTGATTCGCTTTCCACTTCCTGCCAATTGAGTGGACAAGTGCGGAGCAGCTTCTTCAATGTAAAAATGAATCACACTTGAAAGCGGGCTCCTTTTGCTACAAGTTAAGATTTTATTCATGATGGAAGATTGATTTGATTTCACTTCCTGTCCTGGTTTCCACCTCTCCCCCTCCATCGTACGGTTCCCGCCTTATCCGTCATATCTGCCCTCTGAAAATAGTCAAAACACGCGAGCTGGACGGTCCCTGGAATGTTACGGCGGGGAACTTTCTGGAGACTATTGTTGGTTGGCTCACTATCAGGAGATACCGTATAATCCATACATTTTTAGACCGCTAATTTTAGACCCGCATTACTCCCGCGTTATCAAATATCCGCAGTTACATACAAGCCGAACTTTTTGATTGATGGTAGAACAGAACCATTGTTCAATACCAGCACCCGTTAAAAATGGCATTTGGTCCTGGATTATCTTTGTCGCAGCAGGTGCCTTGGTCAGTTGTTTGTTTTTAGAATCACCCGTCTTTAATCAGTTTGTGTTGTCAGTTTTCCACACCTTAAATGCGGAGTTATTGGGATTTTTTTTGGGAGGGGTGGTCGAGGGGGCTCATTCGTGTTCCCGAGTGGTTTGGGTATGCGCCGCAAATCATTGCTTGACTTGACAAAGATTTAACAGCTGTAAAGGACAGCCATGTCGCTTGGGTTCTTGCGACTGTCATCAAATAGCCGTCGAGTCGTTAACGGCTCACGCGGTGAACTGATCCTCGGCGCGCCCACACCCATGTTGGCCCATGCATCCCCCACTGAAGCCTAATCCCCCCCCCCCCCCCGCCCCACCACAGACAGCAAAAGTCCACTTGAAGCCCGTCAATTTTACACAGCATTTCTCATTTAAATTGAATTGATGGCGTTCCGGATCATTTTATGAAGCCCCGCCCATATTTAAAGTGCCAAAATAGAACGTCATTAAAAACCACGTTTGTCATTCTACTTTGCCCTGACGTGCACGTTTCTTGATTTCGTTCTCCTGCGGAACCTTCCCCTCGCCGCCCACTATGACCTCACCTGCGAGCTTTTAATGCTCAGTCACGGATCCTGCGGCGACCAAAACCGAGCCCGCCGCAATCGGAGGCCCGTCATGCTAATGGCTTCTCCCATGCCAAACAAGACTAAAACCACACGACTGGCCTTTATGCAAATGTTTAACTACTGTGTTGAGAGAAGACAACTTGAAGCTTTTTTGACTTGATGTGCCCTTTAAAGGAAAATAAAAAAATGCAACTGAAAGTGCGTCAGAACATTGAAATCAAAGCCACAAAACTGTCGCACTAAATCAGCCCGTTATTGGCTCGACCGTTAAAAAAACGATTGATCACAATTTCAGTGCGTTTTAAAAGCGCAGTTTCATTTCTGTGCTTCCGTCAATACGGACTCACAATAAATCAACGGCTGGTCGTGATTTGCAAGCGTTATCTTGATCATTACAAATCGGATTTGGTCCGATCTTAATCGTACATGTATGCTCGACGGGAGAGTCTCAGAAATCTTGAACCCACTAGCAACGCACACGCGCGCACACACGCCGCCCCTTGCTGAGAGCCTCCCCACGGTCCAACAACGCGCCCCGAACTTGCTCCTGGCAGCTAGCGTGACAGATTTGTCACGTCGGCACCTGGTTGCCGAAAAGTGTCCATGTTCCCGAGATTGTGTGCATGCGTATAGAATTATATAAGATACCGTTCTTGGTTTATATTCATGTTGTCACATTTGAAAAGAGATTTTAAGGTCATGTTTATGTTCATTGTACTGCGTGTGTGTGTGAGTGTGTTTGTGTGAGTGTGTGTGTGTGTGTAACTCAGGAACAACAAGGCCGACCATTCCAAGTCTTCTAAAATAAGCTCCCGTCACCAACCCCTTCCATATGCCCGTCTCGTCAGCGACCGCCTGCCCCCCCCCGTTGACAGCAGGCAGCACGAGAGACCACCAAAAAGCAGTTTGTACGTGAGCCGGCCCAAAATTTTGTTTTTCTTCGCACATTGTCTCGCAAACTTCAAAATGAGGGTAAAATACTGCTCGGTGCCGAAATGTAGTGTTTTCGTTGCTTTATGGGTTGTGTTGTGCAATTTTATGTTTTAACTGAGGGGCTTTGGTATATTTTTGTTATTGTATTTTGGGGAGGGTTTTTGTTTTTGTTTTTTGGAGTGTATCATTACACCACAAAAAATGTCATCCCGCCGTGAGCGTGCGTCCTTTTGTGGTTAATACGACTGTGCCAGAAATATTTTCAGACACACAGAGCTAAGATTTTTTTTTTTAAATCGATTCCTGCTTCCCAACAAATAAAAACTTGCCAAGCCCCACATCAAATTTAAGGTCATGTCGTAAAATTCTGGCATTCGTGATACAATGTTGACGACGCAAGCCATCTGGGCGGACTCCATCGGCAACCGCCCTGGCAGCTTAACATCTAAATAAATGGAACAACACATCAAAGTTGACACGAAATAAACTCGATGAACACAATTACATCCTCCCAAAGTCCTTTTGATGCGGAAACGAAGTGGCGGTAATGTTAAAAACACGTTTGACCTTTAACCTACAGTACACGTGTTAGCATTGGCGTAACATGACTAATACGCTCATCGAAGGAGTATGCCTCCGGAGGCGCAAGCAAGCAAGCGGTGCGGGTGGTGAGCTCCGTTTTGGATTTTCTGGGATCAGCGTGACCTTTTGAGATGTCTCAACCACCTGTTGCCACACACATTCGCACCTTCACACCCTCCTTGACGTATGCCCGTGCTCCCTTCGTGCGAGCGAGAGCGCAGTCAGCGAGGGGGAGGGAGCACGTAGGCAGGGTAGTGGGGGGGCGTCAGTCTACGTCGTTACACAACACTGGCGGGCTTATGGCTCCGGTTGGTCTTAGATCGGGGTTCGGGCTAGTCGACTGGAGATGTCAAGGTTCACATTGGGGGCTTGAGAATGTCCCCCCCCCCACCCCTGCCCCGCATGTGTCACATCCTCGTGAAGTGTGTGTTTGCACATGTATGTGTGAGGTATTCCCCAAGTTGCCAGTGCATCAATCACTTCTCTGCTCTCGCTGTAGTCATTAAACTGTTGAGCTCTGGCTTCAACTTTGAAAATGTCCATTGCCCGTTTCAATCAGAGCCATGTGGCAGACTTCGGATAGTGATCGTGAATGCGAGTTAGGGCTTCGTGTCGACAATCACGTTTGAGATTTTTTTTTGCCTCCAATTTACAGGTGTAACCGACACAAAAACATCGAGTGACGGTGGCAACTTTTGAGAGCAATTTATTCGATGCCTGGCGGGGGGGTCCTCGGTTTAAGACGGAGCTTCATTCCTACAGAGGTGAGCGACATCAACCGAATGTGCACGTTTGTCATATTCCAGTGGTTGTCATCTCAAAAAATAAGTCACTCTCCAAGCACCGCTAAAATGACCAACTTTAAAATAACATCATAGACCAATTTGGTCTTCAATCAAATGTTTAGTTTTTTTTTTTTTTTAATTCTTAAAAAGTCCATTTATCATCGTTTCCCGTTGTAACATTGTACAATTGTTTTTAATCGTAATGAAATGCCGATTCCTTTCAAACGAATTGTCCATAAGCGCCACAAATGGCAGCGTATAAACGTACGGAATTGCATATCCACAGATGGCGATCAGGCGTCTTCCAAATGTGGATTGAAATCCGATACACATATGGGATATCTGCCAATGCCTGTGCAGCATAAACGCACAGACGGCATCTTGCCGCCATTGCCAGCGTGACCTCAGCGGTGACTTCGACAACCCACATTTCTACCCGAACCCCACAAATAAACGTTTTTAAAAGCACCTGCGGCAAAAGCACGAACCATTAAACACGGTCCAAAGATGCTCATTTAGAGGCACGTAGCATATTCATTGTTCACAGAAACCCCCGCTTATTTCTGTTAACATGTTCGTTAATGTATTCACTGTTTATAATGAGCACCAATTATCAGCAAAATTTTTTTGATTGACAGTCAGGCCTGCTCCCTGTCACATACGACATAATGTATTCACTGTTTATAATGAGCACCAATTATTAGCAGAATTTTTGGATTGACAGTCAGGCCTGCTCCCTGTCACATACGACCTGAGAGGCATCGCCATCATTAACTTAGCAAAATAACCTTCATTTAAATCAACAGGCCAGGCCAACTAAACACCTGAACGGTTAATTTTTGTGTTATTTATTGTTGTTTTCTTCTGTTTTTTGCAGCACCAACAAATGCAGTGAGAGAAAAAAAAAATTCTTCTGTTCTTTGCAGCACCAACAAATGCAGTGAGAGAAAAAAATATACTGTCACTTCTGGTAAGCAATGTCTAACCTTCCTGTTATAAAATGGACTGGTTTAAAGTCTAAAATTATCGTTAAAAAAAAAAATAAATGTATGCCCTTGTTTTTGTTATTCGTTTAATTCTATTTTTATACAGTATGTCATTTGAAATTGATACCAATAATGTTTAAAAAAAAAAAAAAAAGTACGGATGAAATTGGAATACAATACAGTTTAAATCCAGCCTGAATCGGAATTTAGACCTGGAGTGTCAATCGAGCCTGGAAGTTGACTCATTCAATGCATATGTCATTAAAAGCAAATTATTATTATTATAATTATGGAATACTGGATGTCGTCCCTTGAGAGGCAAGCAGAGTTTAGCTTCTCCTTCCCAACAAGAACAAAGTGCTCACGTCAAGTCACACGGCCTCCTCCTCCTATAATCACTTCCAGCTTTCACCGCTGTCATTGTGTTATCTGTGGGATTGGCTGGTGACCAGTCCGGGGTGTACCCTTCTTTTCAACCCAAAGTCAATTGAGAGAGGCTCCCACTCACCCAAATGAAGAGAAGCGCTCGACAACACAAACCGGTTGGTGTTTTATCATCACTCGATGGCAGACGTTTGAAAGCCTCCCTTCGTGACATTTTCAGATGTCCGTCAAACCAGGTGGGCGGCGACTTGCGGGCCCCCGCTCCCCGACGGGCTCCCTGCCAGCCCCAAAGTTCGAGAGTCGAATAAGAAGCCCTGTTGTCCGGTGGCGAGCAACCCCAGGCTGTCCGTTAGTGTCCCACTCGGGGACGAGCCCAGCAGGGTGCTCGGTTGGTTGGCGGCGGCGGCGCCGGTGCTCGTTTTGTCCGGGCTGGCGGCCAGGCGGGGCGACGGCGGGAAGGTGTAGCCATATAAGCCGTACGGAGACGTGTGCAGGCGGAGCCCGGCGTAGCCTTGCGGGGCGGGGCCGGACAGGTAGCTCAGTTGCGACGTCGAGAGCGGGAGGGTGCAGAAGGCATCGCCCTCGTAGGGCGGCGGGCCCCGGGGCGGGGGGAACGGCTCCGGAGGGGTGGCGTAGCGGTGGAGCGGAAGGGCCGGGCGGCTGCAGGTGAAGTCGCTCGGGCTGAGAGGGCACACCTGGAAGGGTGACGAGCACGGCGAGGATGAGAGCAAGTGGGGCGGCGCGCCGACACCTCCGTGGGCTCCCTGGACTCCTGCACAAAAAAAAAAAATACCACAAGTCTTTTATTTGCTGTGGAATACACAGTAAATGAAGAAGACAAATCCACCCGTTTCAGGCCGTCGAGGGGGCAGTCGTTTTGCTGTTGACTGAAAATGACAACATGGCCCCAGGTGAGGTCGCGACCATCACAGCTCAACTGTCATTGATGGAATCCGCTAAATGAGACATTACAGCAAACGCGATCGTGTTCTCTGTGTCTCATGTAAGGCGTACTTGTAACTTGAAAAACTCGCAAGTTGGGGCAGTCAAGGTCTCAGCCCCCCCCCCCCTCCCCCCCAAAAAAACCAAAGATCACATACCTTGTTTGGCCATACCGGGTATGTCCTCAAAGGTAAGCGTTCGCAAAGATGGCCGCCAGAAGGCGTACGACTCCACCAGGGCTTCGAGGCCCATCCTGCAAGCAACGATCATATTAGCCACGCCACCTTGTAAAGCCACCACCTGGCCGCCATCTTGGTCCGTGTCTCTGTCTGTGCAGGTAATGAGGAGCATAAACGCCACGTCGCCATTGGCCGCTGCCAGCCGGGCGCTCGGCGGTAATTGCTTTCACGCGGCTTTTATGGGCCAATCAGGAGCAAGGAGGCAGGAAGCCGCAGCGTGGATTTATGAGGTGGGATAACCCACCCTCGCCTCGCCCCAGCCGTCCTCCTCCAAGGTAGGTTGGTGTGGCGGGCGAATGCCACTGCTCTGTTCGACCTCGTTAGCGTGAGGATGAAAGTCAGGCCCCCACCCCCCTGAAACACGCAAACACCCGTGGGGTTGAAGCCGCGGTGATAATTTGGACAAGCTGCCCCGTGAAAAGCCTGTACTGTATGTTCACATTTCGCCGGTTGACTTAATTTGAACGCGCGGCCAAAAGTTGCTTTTGTTGGGTTGCGACCTTCACTGCATTTCACAGAATCGTGTAAAAAGCATCGGAAGGTTGCATTATTTCTACTGCTATGCTTACAATTTATCTTCTTTATGCAGTGAAAACAGAATTTAGAAATACGTATACTTTGCATTTGATAAAATAGAACATTTGGCCAACAGAATGCACACGGGAAAATTTGTTGTTCCAGGTGCAGGATCTTTTTTTTTTCTTTTTTTTTTTCCCCTCACTACTCGAATTTTTTTTTTTTAGGAAATTTTGCTACATTAAGGCCAAAACTCAAAAATTGTGGTTATGCATCTCCGGGTACTTTTTCCATATATGTATAATTGTATGTGTGTACATATGTTGGAATGTGTGTGTAAAAATATAATCTACACATTTCTCCAGTGTACTGCATGTAGAACATGTTTGATCGTAAATTGTCACTTTAGTGCTGCTGTTTTGTACAGATTGGACTTATTTTGCTGTTTATGTTTCAAAGGCCGTGAATCGATCTTCCCCCGTCCCCCACGACAAAGTGACAAAATGACGAATGCTCCAGGATTAAATCTCCCGACCGCTGCGGTAAGACTTGATTAGTTCAACCCTGGATGGATTTTCACATTCATAGAGGCCCGTCGCACCCTTCCCGTGAGAGAAGGATAAATAAATGCAGGCCGTGCTTTTTCCCCCTTCCCGTAATATCAGACTGGAATAGCCGTGACAAAAAAAAAAAAAAAAAAAAACCCACACACACACACACAGGCCAGCAAAAATATCAAACATGACCCAGTTGCGGTGTGTAATGTGGAGGTCCCGACTCACCGATTCCTTCCAGAGTCTCTGAAGCCTTTGGCAAAAGGGTTTCTGTCAATTTTCAGCCTGGTGATCTGGAAAACACAGGGAAAAAAAAAATCCCCCAAAATCTTATGACAACACATTCGGCATGCCAGCAGAAATAGTCTTCTGTTTGTCTAAACTTCGGTTGGACGTGCCAACATGTCGCTTTTTGTCTCTTGGCATTTAGGAAACTGAAGCAGTGTGTTTTGCCGCGGCGCACATGTGATCCCCCCCAGTCAAAAAAGAATTTGGTCGAACTTGTGAGCTGCATCCCAAGTCAGATGTTCAGTCTTAAGCTCGCTTTAGATGATGTAGACCATTCCAAGATTTTTTTGTTTTTTATTTTTGACAGGCAAATTATTTGTCAGTTGGCAGGATTATGCAAACAAAAGCATACATCTATGGAGCAACTTTTTTTTCGTGGCCAGATGATTGCTTTTTCAATCAAAAAAAAAAAACTCCCGTAATTTGGAGATACACGCGATTAATTGAACAATCGGGTCTTTTCTTCATGTAACATTTTATAATCCAATTCCAAGCGCCTACGAAGTCATTGTTGCACTTGAAAATGAAAACAGAGAAGGGGACAAGAGGATAGAATTGTCACTGTCTAGTAGAAAAAAATGCATCTTCAAAATTACCTTATTTGGCAGATTGACAAAAAAAAAACTGACAGCGACAGGTACGGTATGTTGTAGTCACTTTTCATAAATACTACTATAGCTATAAATAGTGCGACTACGATTAAAAAAAAAAAGATCCAAAAAAAATACTTTTTTTTTCTCCCCCTGAGATAAATTGACAAAAAAATCAACGGGATTTTTGTTGGGCCGTGGCAGCGATCCGCAGTCCACTGCGTGACGTAGTTTTCGCGATTGTTTTCATACGGGTGGAGATGATGTCTTGAAGGTGAGCATTAAGGACAAACCTGCTGGTTCTGGTACGCCGTGACGGTGGTGAACACGGTCTCGGGGAAGGAGAAGGTTCTCGTGCCCTCGCCAACGGGTACGGCCTTCACCGGGGACAACTCCTCGCCGCACTCCTTCCGGATCACGTGCACCCGTGGTTGGTACTTGTGCATGGAGTGCAGGATTATCTGGAGAGCGAGCAGGGCAGTTGGGTCACAATTTGCTCACACTTTGTTTAAAAAAAAATAATAAAATAAAAAATTGTATGTCTTTTTTTAAAAAAATGTCTGGATTTGACTGTAAATTGTATCTTCATTTTAATTTTCGAAAAGTCTATTTTGTTTGCCAGGTCCTTCAACAAGCTTCATCTACTGGAGTATGTATGGACCTCCCCCAGGGCAAACCGAAGACGCTCGCAGGGTTTTTGTAAAATTAGGAAACACATATGACGGACTGGCAAATTCAGTAAAATATGGAAAATGAGTTACATGCTGTTATTATAGTCAAATTGTCCTAATTTAGGCCACAATTGGGGAAATCAGGGAGAATATTTTAGAACATTGCCCTTGATGGAGGTCTGAGCTCTGCAGGGTGCCAGTTCCGCTATTAGTTGTTGGGATTTTTTTTTTTAGGGACTTTGCGGTTTTAAAAATTCAAAGTTGTTTGTCATTTTCTCATATTCAACTTTTCAAAACTGGGTAATAGTATATATGTAGTGGCACTATAGTCATATAATAATAAAGGTTAAGCGGTACAAAGATTGGCCAGACAGACGGTAATACATTTTTAAAAATATATGATGATAATAATAGCTGAATTACATGTCCCTGGTCGTCCAGCTCGTTATTGGTGAGCTTGAGCTTGTCGAAGCTGACCACCTGCCGCATCCACGTCTCCCCGGAGGCGGGCGAGTCCGGGTGGATGTAGACCCGGGGCGGCACTGGCGAGTCGGCGTTGCCCGCCACCATCCACTTGGAGCTGTGGTACACGTACCTGTGACCACACGACGCCACCCCAAAAAAAAAAAAAAAAAACACATCTGAACCCATTCGTGTTGCACTTTATCTCAAACGAGAATACATCTACATTCATCTTCGGCCATTTATGCACATATCGGAATACGTTTCCCAACCAGACTGTTGAATCTTTACGATATCCGTTAATGCGCACAAAAGGAAGCATCGTTGTGCGCCCCCCCCTCCCCCCTCCGCCCCCGCCACGATCACGGCACATTTGCTGCTTTGACCTTCCCGCAGACCGAGGTTAAAAGTCCAAAAGGAACAACTAAACAACACCGCCCAACGCCGTTTGTGCGCTAAGCAAAGAATTACGACGGCACCGGGTCATCATTCTCGTTTCGATCGTACCTGTATCGCTTGTTGTCCACGGGGATGATATCCATCGCGATGTAATATTGCTGATGTGGGTCCAAACCGGACATTTTGACGCGCATGGCCGGGAACATCCGCCTAAAAACAAAAACCCATCGTAATTTAAAAAAAATGACGTAGAGGGGGAGAAATGAGTGTAGTTAGAGTCAAGCTTTCAATTCTTGCGGCAAAAAAGCGATGCTGCGCTTACCCTGTTTCGCATACATTTTTCATTTAATTACAAAAATCAACGTGTTTGTCTTTGATTATATTTGAATGTTTCTCATTAAGGCGTGAACGTTTTGCTATAGTTTACACCAAGCATGACGTATGATTCCGTTTTTAACCAAAACCTGCAAATCTCTTTAATTGGGCTTTTCAGGAAATTCAATTTGCGTGAAGACAAAAGGGCAAATGTGGCTTGAAAATGTTTCTGTGTACCTTCCAGCTTTGGTGATGATCATCTCCGTGCCGATCTCGTGGAAGCGTTTCCACAGGTCCGAGCCCTGCAGGTCCACGCGTGGGTCTTCGCTCCCGCTGCTGCTAACAGCTGCGGGCTGCGGACTCTCCAGGAGCGCGTCTTCGCTCTCTGTTTTACGCGCACAAACACACACACACACACACACACACACACACACACACACACACACACACAATTCTTTGTTTTTGCAAGCACCACATAATTCTATGCATATTTATTTTCTTTGTAATAAGGAATTTGCTCCACTATAGTTTTTTTTATTACAATAGCGTGCTCAATGTGACTAATTACTCATCCTTATTGATAAAAAGCACATTAAATCGTTTAAGTAGCTATTATAGGCAATATTTGGTCACATAGGAATATTTTTACAACAATACAATTTGGAGGGGGTAAATGTAACCATTTGACGGATCATTCCGATCAAGAAAAACTTTTGAATGATTTGCACGCGGGCCCATATTGCATTGGAAATGACACTGTCGACTCGAGTTTTAGTTTCCACTTTTCCAGTGCGTCCTGGTGCTTTTGGGTCCGTTTCTACTGCTGCTAATTGGCGTGTTTACGACTGCAGCCAAAAGCTCATAAAATAAAGCATCGACTCACAGTCATAATTGTGACACACTTTGCACGCCGGCCACAAGCTCACATGTCTTGTTTGCAGGAGTGGCTCCTAGCATGCAAATAGTCAAGTTTAATAATTGTGTCAATATTGTATCGAATGACACAATGCGCTGGGAAAAAAAACTAGCTAACGTAGTCAAATGTGTGTTTAATGTAAAATAGTTGCAGCCGATAGTCTTGTTGGATGTTGTAGACGTGTGACACTTTTATTCCATCCGTGTTATACAGTTGACTTTTTGTTACTTGGCAGCTCTCTTTGTCTGCGGTGCTTTTACTCACGGGATCCGTCGCTGGCGTATTCCGCTTCGCTCCCGTAGGCTCTGGCCGCCGGCTGAAGCTCCGGACTGGCGTTCGCCTTCGGAACGTCGTAGCCGGGCGACGTCGCCCCTTCCCCCGCCGTCCTGCGCCTCTTCTCGGCCCCGATGAGCGACTCCACGGAGAAGGCGTGCGCCTTGACGCTCAGCGCGCACGGCGAGCGCCGCTTCTCGGCCATGGTTCCGGATCCCAAGTCCCGGGAAGCGACGGCGGTCGTCGTTGGCTGGTAGTCTCGACTACGAAGACGACGACGAAGAAGAAGAAGAGTCCCAGAAAAGGTGAGGAAGTGTTCTGAGGTGCAAGTTTCTCCGCGTCTGACGTCTGGGTTATCCACCGCTTTCTTTGGAGCGAGGTGTCAACATTCGGGGAGAAACAAGGCGGGGCAATGGGGCAGCTGTCAGTCACAACTCGCCTCGACCAATCAGGAATCGACCCTGCGTCCGCTCAGGAAGTGGTTTCCCTCCCGGGCCACCCCCACCGGTGCTGCCCTTGTTGATCAACGAGCGCAGCAGCACCACATCAAACCCTACAGTTCGAATTTATTGCATTACTTTCTCGGCGTTTTAACACAAAAGTGATACGTTAGGTAAATCAATAAATCCGAAAAGTGTGCGCATACAGCTGAACGCAATTTTAAGATATTTAGGGCGACAGATACGACTCATCCCTGGGGGAAATTCCTCACTCATGCATAACCTAGGGCAAAAAAAAAGGTGCCAACAAATACAAACGGCATAAATCAGGAATTAAAATACATGGAAATATAATCTAAACAAGAAATAAAGATATTGCACGTTAGTATGTGGTAATGTATTCTAGTAATAATTGTACATTTTGTGCAACGCAGAGCTATATGGATGCGATGTATTACAATGCGCCCAAAATGCAAAGTGTAAAAATAAACTGCATAGGCCGCGGTGCAATTATCATCACGGTCAATGTTGACCATTTAATAAAAAGTAGACTCAAAGAGGACATTCGGCAACATCTATAAAATATAATCATCCCTTGAGTTAATGTTGCGTGTCCTTGGTTCGTTAAAAGGCGTGATGTAATTCCAAGTGATTTTTTTTTCGCATGCAAAATATAACGGAAGCATTAAACATACTGTGTATTTTTCTCACGAAACACATCAATGGGATTTTATTTATTTAGATTATCGAACGTAGTGATGAAGTAAAACCGAACATGACTGTTTTATTAATTTGGACTTTCATTGAATGTTCAGAAAACGAAAATGGATATTGACAAAAACTGTCCTTTAAGCATTGATTGAAACCCCTTTGGAATGAAAAGAGTCACTGAATCATTTATCGACATTTTCTGTTTCAGTAATGGTGAGAAGGCCCCCCGAAGGGACGCTTGGACCTCCACGACCAGCGAGCAAGTAAGGAGGTGAGAATGACTTTGAAATTATTTCGGACTTACATATAATATTTGACTGTGTGCATGCGTCAAAACTATGATGTCGGGAAAAGTAGATGAGATGTTTTAAAATGTTGCTTTTACATTAAAATAATTGCTGATTTTTATGATGTATATATATATTTGCAAAAAAACAAATTTAATATTTTGTTGAATGGCTTTGCACGTTTTGCATTGTGCATGCTGTACCTGGAAGTATTTTTAGTTTTTAAAAATGCCATTCCATTTTCTAACTAAGGATAATTCTATTTTAGGATACGTACTTAAAGTAGAAAGGTTTCAGTCGTCCCTTTTCTGGCCCTTTCCTGTAGTCTTAATTAAAAAAAAAAACTGTCCATACAGTGTTAACGCTGTACTACTAAATCTACTTGTATATTTTCAAATTATGTAGTTGTCTTTCAAGATGAACAGGAAAGTGTTCCTGACTCTAACAAAATACAGATAACCTTAATGTTGCTGTTTTTTACTGGCAATCATTGTTGTTCCATTATCATTATTGTAATATTACTGTCTGTAACCAATTCATATCTGGCCATCATAAAATGGAGCAGTACGTTTAAAATTAAGACTGGGTTTATATTCTACACAAATAATAACAACACGGTTAAACATCGTTTAGTATTTTTTTCCGTTCGCCCGACTGTTTTGTATTGTGATTAAATGCAGACCAAAAGGAGCAGGTTGCTGTTTTGTTTTTTAAACAAATCAGCCTGAGAGGCAGTTTATGACTTCCGCGTTGGCCCCGCTGCGCGTGCGCGTTCAGCCAATCAGAGTCGAGCAGACGTTGTTGGGGGAGGGAATAAAAAAATGCCTCCAGTACGTGTGACAGCTTCGTTGAATGGGCCTTGGCGGCCGGTGCCAGCCTGCAGGCCCCCTTTTCATCATTTTTATATTCAGACCTAAAAAAAAAACAAAACGTTACGACACTACATTAAAATATCTTTAAATCAAATTAATGGAGGAAATGCAATACTCAAGTATTGTGCTAAAATTTTCATTTGCTATAAATGTTTTCTCGTTTCTAGAAATATATTCCGCATAATGTCATGACACATTTGGATAATAATGACATTTATTGCCTTTTTTAGCTACTTCGAAAGCCTTCTCAGCTTGCTGCAGTGTAGCACCGATCAGTAATAACTAATCTACTAATGTATCAAGAGTAGCAGAACTCCCAAAACACAAACAATTGAACTACTGAGCACAAATCAGTAACAACATAACTAGACATATGATGTCCGTAATAATTGAACTAAAACACGTGCCAGTAACTGACATCCTAAAACACATCACTGATCATTAACTTTTTGAAGCACATGTTAGCGATAAACTGTCAAAAGCACTCATTGATAATAATTCAACTACAATATAAATTTAAACTACTCAAGCCATTTTCAGTGATAGCTGTACACGCTAAACACTCAAGCGCTGCTCAGTCGTTAACAGAAGGCTCAAGCACAAATCAGGAATTAATGAAGTACTAAAAGCCATCAATAATAACTAGAAAAGCAGATATCAATAACATTTGAGAGACTGAGGGAGCGCATCACGAGAGTTGCAGCTATTTGCTTTGTACAATTGTTATTTTTAGATTGTACTGAGCGTTAGGCTCATTACCTGTGTGTGTGTGTGTGTGTGTGTGTGTGTGTGTGTGTGTGTGTGTGTGTGCGTGCGTGCGTGCGTGCGTGCGTGTTAATGGAAGGACAAACTATCAGTCTTCGCATGCAATGAATTTAGTCCTTTGATGAAGCACAGTTTGAATGCCTGCACCTTTAGCAGCTCATTACGTGGCCGCATTCTGGAAACTATGAAGATGATTACTCTCGAGCACGCGCACTATCACACACACACACACACACACACACACACACACACACACACACACACACTTAGGCAGTGAAAATTGCGGTCATGAAACCTCTGCTGGTTACTAAATTGGGACATTGGTTTTGGGTTTTTTTTCTGACTTAATAGAGGTGAGGTTGGAAGTTTTCACCTTCATAAAAACAACACCTGCTTTGCTTGTACTTTAAACGGGGCGATGATGTCATCGTGGGATGATAACCGGTTCTTATTTGTGCTGGTCATTTCATTTCAGGGCACTGAATGGATTGGCAAGTGCCCTACAAGGCCTCTCGTCTGAGCGGGCTTCATCAGCTCATGCAATTGCCCAAACCTGAAGCTGCTTGGGAGAGAGGCCAAACATCGTCCAGGACAAGCAAAACAGTTCAGTTGCCATCCAGCCGATGCCCTGAAATGGCGAGTAACTTGAAATGCCTTGTCATACTTTTTTTTTTTTTTTTTTTTTTTGGAAATGCCAACTTGTTGTCTTTGTCCAAAGCCGCTCTTTTGAAGAAGGCGGGGTGCCCGTTGCGCCGTTGACGTTCATGATGATGTGAAAATCACAATCTTAAAATGCAAACATCTGCAGCTCGTAACTGGGAGTGGCGGGCGCACATGCGTCTTAAAAAGCACACGCTTATTTTCATCTCATTTCTGTCGCCGGCGCAACTGGAAGCATTTAAACATGTTTTTTTTTTTTTTTTAATCAAAGACCAAAGTCATTAAAAAAAAAAAAATCCGAAATGGCCGCTAATCCCGCCTTTCTTCCCCGTCCAACTAGCATTTAGTGCACATTGAAGGAATGTCGTTTTATTGGCGTGTTTAGGGCGGAAAAAAACGGGCACAAATATGTCCTGGTTTTTATAACCGCTTTGCAAAAAGAGGAAAGAAAGTGTTCCAGTGTTTCCCTATTTTTACCTTTCTCTAATTGGTGGTAATGACTCCATTTAAACGCCAAACAGCAACATGAAAAGCTCGCGTGGGCAGGTTACACGTGTTCCCTTGACAAGCCCATCTAATTTTGACTGTACTTTATATTATTTGACAATATGATGTGAACACAATATGTTTTGACATCATTTTCCGAATAAAATTCACTCCAACTCACATTCGTCATGTACTTTGGCGATATTTTGTCATTTTGCGTTATTTGATCAAACATATTTTCCATATCTTGCTATGCAACGCCATGCTCGTAACATAACTCCGTAATTCATCTTTTGTTTATTGAGAGACATTTTTGAAATATCCCCATCGGAGAGTCATTTCCTGCCAAAAATCAACCGCCACAATGAGGCACTCTAAAACAGCCACGCCCGCTCCTACCGCTGTTCACTTGCTGGCTGTCTAGCCACTTTTTTTTTTGCTTTCTTGCTCCTTTTCTTGACTTTTTTTTCTTAGTAATGGCTTATTCCCATTGGTCGTCATTGCCGTTGTTGCACCCTGAATTTTGAGATTTTCTCACATTTTTGCATTTACTGGCCATAGTCGAATTTTGTTCGTCAGACTTTTTTTTTTTCTTCAAATCTCTTGTCAGACTAAGTTTACAAAAAATACATTTCCTTTGGAAAAATTAAAAATTAAAAAAATTTTCCCCTGCCCCCCCAAAAAAATTCTCAAAATATAACACTTTTCCTTTAGGAAAAAACTTTTTCTCTGAATAAATTAGAGATTTTTTTTGGTCAAAAATTGCCATACATTTTCATACATTCAGATTTTTTTTTCTCCTAACAGTTGACTGAAAGTGAGTGTATGTGTGGTTCTATAATTGTGTGAATGATTGAATACCGAAAAAAAAAAAGCCTAAATTTGAGGTGGAAGACAAGCAAATGACCCTTTTCTGTGCCTGCTCTGCTTTCGTTCAAAGCTCCCCAAACGATTTTTTTCCCCTGGTGGTTTTGTCCTCACTGATACGGCCTCGGGCGAGAAATGTGTTTTTCATCCAGCGTCTCTTCCTCCCTCTTCCCGGGATAACGGGGGTCACAGCATGGAGACCCCCGATGACTCCACACCTGGAACAACAACGCCCGGAATATCCGCTCGGCTTGCACGTGTTTAGCGTGTGTGCGTGCATGTGTGCGCACTAATCCTTCTTCAACACCTCTTCAGGCCTTAAACGAGCCCAGGGGTGCAACGGGTATGAAACACTTGAGGCATTTTTTAGCGTGTGTGTGTGTGTGTGTGTGTGTGTGTGTGTGAGCAGGCGACGCGGCGCTGAGATGTGATTAATAAAAGATGAGTGCACGGGAAGTCGGAGTGTTTGGATTCAATCTTTACGAGATGAAAGACGTCTAAGGGGGGGCGAGTGGGGAGTGGGGGGGTCAGGCCGGGACCACACTGTGAACGGGCCTTCGGGGGTATGAGTGCAACAAGTGATGACAATGAGAAAATATTCCCATCCGCCATCTTTTGATGCCTGCGGCGTGCCCCGTCTTCCCGAAAAGCAGCGCTTAAAAATGAACTCGAAAAGATGCTGACTTGCAGAAGGATCTGCTTCATGATCGTTTCAGATTTTTCATTTCATCTGGAGGTGCACCGCCCCTCCCCCCGCCTCCCCCTGAGAAACATCATTTCCACGAGATGACCGCTAGTTTTATGGCAATCTGCTTCTCCTTTGACAATCACACCATGTTTTTGCGGTTCAGTCGAAAAGCATACGGACCAACATATTTTATGTGGAGCCTCAAAACCCGATACGGCGTTTCAGTTTTTCCACCGCGGCATGTCAGTAGATTTGCGCTGTGTGGAGGAAAGATTGCTAACTGTAAAAAAAGAAAAAAAAGAAAAATTGATGGACCATTTTTGTTGTGTTGCCATGCCTGGTGTGGTTTTTTTGTTTAAATTTTGACTTTTTTTTTTCTCAGTAAATTGCAACTTTTTTTGTCAGATTTTCTTCATTTTTCATCCCCAAAATATTTTTGTCATAAAATGACAAGACATTTGTCTCGCAGCAACTCTCACAAGACCTTTGGGGGCGAAGCTATTCTTTTTCATGCGTTGCCATTTTGTAAAATTCTCTTTTAAAATGGCGACTTTTTCCTTCTCAATTTCCTTTTTTATTTTTTTTATTGTATTCTTTTTTTAACCAAAATGAGATTTTTTAACTTTTTTTTTTTGTTTGTTTGTTTCTCTCACCCTTGCTGCAAGCCAAACGGCACCGCAGCAGCGTCACGCGTATGTCTTGCGGGCCGCGGGCTACCTGGCAGCCTGCCCCTCGTCCAGATGCCTTGTAATGTTTTTTACAGCCTGCGCATTCATCCATCCTCGACTATTTCATCTTGAAATAAACTTTCGACGATGCTGAGCGCTTCTCGCACAAGACTCTTGTAAATGATATCAAAGATGTGGAATTTACAAGGAGTGCGCTTATGAGTGCAATTTTTTTCTATATCCCCTGATTTCATTCGCCTCTTGTATGGCTCTTCGAAAATCTGTAACTTGTTAGTCGTGGAGACAAAAGTATTGGGACGCCGCTTTTTCACAAAGCAATCAATCCGCCGGCTCATCGAAGTGCCTTCAGATATGTTTGGTGTGGCAGAAGAAGCCCGTGAAACACCTTGAAACACATCAAGGCAGGCACCTCGTCCAACTTGACTTTTCACTCCCTGGGAGGGGCGTCCCGATGCTTTTTTTTTTTTTTTAAGCCCAAGAAGCCTTTTGAAGATCTGGCTGAACAGCGCTCAAGCTTCCTGCGATTGTGACGTTCGCAAGTTGGCGTGGACATCACACGCCGTTTTTTTTTTTTTTCTTGACTTCCCATAAACGTTGCACATGCAACAATGAAAAAAAAAAAGCATCCGAGCTTGCACATGAAAGTCGAACAAAGTGTGAGGACGAGGCTGTCTCCACATGCTAATTCCAGCCCGTCTTCATCTGGCACCACAACTTCAAGTTGAATTTGGTCCGTGACCAAGCTAGTAACCTTGTAGGTTTACTAGTTTTATGTAACCTTTGTAGGATGATTAAAAAAAAAAGTGTACCATTGAATGGTATTTATTATTTTATCAATGTATTACTTTACCATTGTTGGTATTTTGCCTTTTCCCGAACTGACTTGGCTTCTGATTGCCTTTTGCGAGTCATGTGGCAGCTGCCTGTTGCTCGAGAATCTTCAAATGGGTTATTTCCAACTTTTGGGGCAAAAAAAAAAAAAAACTTCCATGTTGTGCTTTAATGAGAGGAGATCTCTGCAGGTAACTTCCTCTTCGCCCCCTCCTCCTTCCTCCATCTGGTTGAACTAAACAGCAGATTAGCACATTAGCGCAGCCAGCTGGCATCGGGAGAAAGGCCCGACGTTTCAACGCGACGCACCGGACCACTCGTTGCGCGCCCGCGTTAAATGTTGCCTTCAAATCCGGGACGGGCGTTCACGAACACGTGGTGAAATTTAGCACCGGATGTTTTCGCAAAAATAGGCAGATGAGTCGGGCTGAGCACCGAGATGCGGTTAGCCTTGGTGAGCTGTGAGAGTGGAGTGATGTGTCGCTCTGAGAAGTATCAAATGGTAGTTTGGAGTTTTGGAAGACATTTGCCTTTTCCCTAAAATGGCTTTCTTCTAGCTTGCTATTGGCTAGAACGGCCTTTGGACTTGATGGCGGCACCCATTGCAGTGACATGTTGGTGGCAGCCTGCAAATGCCTTTCATTTCCAACTTTTTTTTTTTTTTTTAATTAGCTGTGTACAACTACCGTTGGCATGGCTTGTGTTGTGCTTGGAGACGTACACACACACACACACACACACACACACAAGCCGGTCTTTGTGAAGCACACAAGCACAGTTGTGCGCCGTTTTAACGGTCAGATTTTTGCCAGCCAACTAGGTGTGCTATTAACAACATAACACGTGCTTAATGAGCACACACACACACACACACACACACACACACACACACACACACACACACTCTCTTGCATCCGTACTAACAAGGGAGGGTACACTTGACAGCGTGCCATTCACACAGAAACACGTTTTTAATACACAATTCACAACAAAGCTGTCGCGGGGAGAGAGGTGTGCCGGGAGCTTCTGTCAATAATCCCCTCGAATTCCGTTTGTGTTTGTCTGTACATGTGTGTGTGAGAGAGAGCATGTATACATGTATGTGTACACAGCCCTTGTAAATTGACTTTTTTTTTTTTTTCCCCCCCGAGGTGTTCCAACAGTGCTGATGACCCAAGAGCGACTCCATGACGATGCATCCGGGTCCTTCGTTAGCAGGTACCACATTCAAAATTACCCCCCCCCCCTCAATAATATTCAACAACTATGAGGATAGTGACCCGTAAATCACATCTAACCGCTTGTTGGACACGTTGACCCGGCGAGCCCCAGCCATTATTGATCTTGTCAAAATGTGCAGAATTCTTGGCAATGAAAATGGCGGCACGTGTATTTTGCATGAAATGTCTTTTAAAATGAATCGCCTTCTCGCAGCAACTTCACCGCATGGAGTGTTTGTGCCGGTTGAATGGGCCTCCATGGGAGTCGCTCAACGTGGCTTTTATGGTGAACTGGGGCTTGCTTTCGGGGGCTAATTAAAAGTTACCAATTGGGAACAGATTCTGACACACGCACACGCGTTAACACACCCACACACAAAAACATACACACACATGGGGGCTAATGAGCGAGTGAAGAAAAAGCTTAAGGGACCATCTCATCAGTGAACAGGTTGTAACTCAGAACATATTCTGCCTCTGTTTCTGTGTGTTTGTGTGCGTGTGAGTGTGAGAGTGTGAGAGAGAGAGGCACACACACTGTTCCAGTATGTTTCCTCCCCATAAAAAGCAACACTTAGCACTTCATTGGCATTGAGCTTTTGTGACAACATGATGCAGCAGAAGCACACTCCCTCAGGTGGCAATATTTAGGGTACGGTTTTTAACAATGTTGGCCGACACGTGATCAGAAGCACTGAGCTATGCTTATGATCCAAATTCCAAAACTTTTGTTGTTGTTGTTTTCTTGGCTTGACTGCATGTGTATTTGGATGTTAAAACATTTCGTCCAATCAGATTTCAGCCTCTTTGTGTTGCTTGTTACATTCTTGCAAGAACTCAATTTTTTTTTCAAAACTATTTTAAACTGAACATTTTTTTACCAGTTTGTTCTCAATTAAAAAAAAAAAAAGACTCATTATATATTTAAACATCCACACTGAACAATTTTCCTAAACCGGACACTTGATTAGGTACACCTGTCTGCACATTCTAATGAAAATGTACCGTCAATGTTTTCTGGTGTCAACACACTGCAAGTTTGTGAAGGCAAAACCAGCATCGTTGCTAATGTGGACCTTGTGTGTGTCCGTGTGTGTGTGTGTGTGTGTGTGTGTGTGTGTGTGTGTGTGCGCGTGTGTATGTGCCCGCGCTGCTCCACTCCCGGAATTGAAATGTGAAAGAAACGTGTTGGAAGGTGATGACAAGAGTAAAGCGAACCAGTCATTTCCTGGCGGCTCGACCCACATGTGTTTTGCGCATGCACGCACACACACACACAATTGCACACCACATTCTGCTTTAATAAGCGTGTGTGTGTGTGTGTGTGTGTGTGTGTTGAACTGTGATACAACATTTTAGTAGGGAAACCCTGCTGAAGGTTGAAAAAAAGCACAGTGAGCCAAGCCTCCCGTCACCACTCGTCACACACGCCCATGCGCGGATGCACACAAACATACACGCGTTCAAGCATCCAGCATACTCGCACAAACCCACACTGCACATGCGCACTCACACGAATACCCACGAAAACATCCGCGCGCACAAAAACGAACACATCCTGAGATCCACTAACATCCGCGCGCACAAAAACGAACACATCCTGAGACAACACACACACGCATGCAGGCACACGTGCACTTTTTCACACACGCTCAGATGCATACGCGAATTGACCGGCTGCCAGGTCAGCAAAAAAATAAATAAATAAATAAAAAGATGATGACAATGTTCATGTACAGTGACTTTATCATCACGTTTTAAGTCTAAATCATAACTTGTAAAGCAAATAGCTTGTGAGTTGCACTGTGACCACTAGAGGGCGGCAGTGACGGCGCATCTGATTCGACTCAGCAGCTAACAATGAATGCACCAATGATGACAATATTATGATAATAGAAATAACTGCCTGACTGACTCAAGCATCATGAAATTAAAATTTATCTATTTTATCTCCTGCACAAGGCTGCTTTATTATGCGAAACCATAAGACTATAATGTGCACACACGGAACAAACCACACAAAAAAAATCATAAAACTTGATAAATATTATTCTAGCTATCCAGCAGCAGGAATAATAGTAGTTGTATTTGTAGATAAAAATGTGCTTTCAGTTGGTGCAAATTTCATAGGTCTCAATAGTGTGTGTGTGTGTGTGTGTGTATGTGTGTGTGTGTGTGTGTGTCTCTGTCCCTGTGTGTGTATCATGTTACAATGCATATTGGAGCATCGAGTGAGTGATTACGAAACGCTGCAATCTGAGCCACACACACACACACACACACACATACACACACACACACACACACACACACACACACGTGCTGATGGAGTTCAAAGCGTGAAACCTCACCTCTGTTTTCCACTGATCACGATTGTACCCTCTAGCCTTTTAAACGGCTGCTTGACATACAACATTGACATTGAACTTACACGTTCTATACTAAATAATATATACTAGAATACACCCTGTTCTCACAGCAACGAGGCACTCTAAAGCAGCCATGACACCTTGGTGCGCCTCTGTCCACACACCGCCGTCAAAAAAAAAAAAAAAAAAAAAAGTTTGAACAAAAATTCCCCCTCCTTGCACTTCCACCTTTCTTACCGAGAGTGACGTGCACATACTCGTGGCTGACAATGAGGCGCTCGAGGGCGGCCACACCAGCAGACCATCTGAAGCGTAGATGTATATTTGGGCCATATTTAGTGGGAAGCAATAATTAATTTGCTCATACTGCACCGTTTTAGCCCCCCACCCCCCCTCGGCCAAGAAAAAAAAAATCAAAACACAAATCTGAATTCATTTTAAAATTGTAAATATAGATAAGTGGTTCTGCGAGTGACCCTGACAGCTCACCGCAGGTAAGAGCAGGTGGAAGTAAGAGCGTCTGAGTGGTTATTGTGTAACTCTTGGGAAGCGGTTCACAAGGGTATGGGTTGGGGGGGGGGGCATAATTAGGGTGTCGCATGTCACCAGGAGAAAAGAAGAGTTAATGATACACCAGCGGCTCAGCAGGAAGCAGCTCCGACGCTTTCTCGTGTCTCTCCTCAGCGACGAACCAGGGGGTGCCGCACCATGCGGTACGCTTCCCGATGCCGGACGCCGCAGTGAAGGGGAAGGTGGGCGGCGGGGGTTCATGCCCGGCCTTGTTGGCGGCCCCGTGCCAGGACCTTTTGAGGAGCTTCCCCCACACCAAGCGGGTTGGTTCTTACCTGGTGGGCAAGATGATCAACAAGGGCTCCTTTGCCAAGGTGATGGTGGGCCTGCACATCGCCACTGGAGAGAAGGTCCGATCCGCGCGCACTCTGCTCACTTTCACGAGGAACACTCTGCCGCTGTGTGTGGCATTTACTTACTTACCGACTTAACTACCGACTGACTGACTTACAGTGATATCATATTTGTATGTGAAGGTGGCCATTAAGGTGATTAACAAGAAGAAAGCGCACCAGGACCCTTACGTTCAAAAGAACATGAAGAGAGAGCCTCGCATCCACCAGATGATACGACACCCAAATGTCGTCCTCCTGCTGGAGGTAACCCAATGATGTGCAATATTTTAAACGGAATCCTGACGTCATGCGCGTGCGTGTGTGTGCGCGTAGACCCTGGAGACGGAGAACAGTTTCTACATGGTGCTGGAGTTGTGTGCTGGCGGCGACCTGATGGAGCGGATCTGCGACAGCAAGCGTCTACCGGAGAAGGAGGTGCGACGATACGCCCGACAGATCCTGTCGGCGGTGGCGCACCTCCACCAGCATGGCGTCGTGCACAGGTGAAAGTTAAAGTACTGATTCAACTCCTTTATGTACTTAAGGAAAGCTAAAACTACACTAGAAAGGTCAAAAAACCTGGTAAGTCAGTTAAAATTATATACCGTATTTTCCGTACTATAAGGTGCACCGAAAATTCTTCCATTTTCTTATAAACTCACAGTCTTCAATTTACAGCTTTTTTTTTTTTACCCCTGTGAGATGTCATTGGGGTTAAAAAAAAAGTTTATTTTGACAACAACAAAAAAAGTTTTCAAATGTAGTGTGTAAAAGTCGTCAGGAAAAAGAAATAGCTAAGAACCGTAACAACGTACTTATGCGCCCGCCATTACTTCCTGCCATTGATGAGCGCGCATGCACACATGCAGAGGAATTCGAATGCAGAAAAGTGTGGCTGCGGTGTGCAACTAGGTGTGACTTTTGCGTGCGCACACACACACACACACACACACACACACACACACACACACACACACACACACACACACACACAAAGTGCAGCAGTGCCCGTTTTTTACGAGGTTTGGCTCCTCCAAAGGTGGGAATGTGATTACCAGGCAATGACCTCATCACGCTGCGCCGGCGCCATGATTCACACATCATCACGACATCACTGACTTCCTCTCTAATGAAGTCCCTCAACGACGGTCAGACACACACACACACACACACGATTAAAATAGAAATAAAGGGAAAATTTGCACTGCAACCCACTTCCTGCTCCCCCACGTTCAGGAATTTTACCGTTTTTTTTTTTTTGTCCCCCTTCACGGCGCCTCTTTCCTCAGTTCTTTGTCTCCCTTTGTCCGGTTTTCTCGGCATCTGCTCTTGAGATGAATAAACTTGAAAGGAGCATGCATGATTCCCAGGGCGGATGTCGAGCGCAGATGTTCATTACGCCTGCGTGCTTCCAAGAGCCTCTTTGGGTGCGTCTCAGGACGTCAACATCCAAGTACCTTTGTTCACATCAGCTTGAATAGATAATTGGCATTTCGATTCATGCAAAAACTCACCGACCAGGCGAATATCATCAAAACGTGATGATGACTGCGATCCTTGTGTTGTCTTGTGTGCCAGAGATTTGAAAATTGAGAACTTCCTCCTCGATGAGCACAACAACATCAAGATCGTTGGTACGTCCCGCAAACGCCGAACGTGAAAGTGTCGGAATGAAACACGCGGCATGTCATGCCGGCGACTTGTTTTCGTTTCCGCTTGCAGATTTCGGCCTGAGCAACACGCTGCTGAGGTCGGAGTCGTTGCCTCCGGAACTGCTCAGCACCCAGTGCGGAAGCCCCGCCTACGCCGCCCCCGAGCTCCTCGCCCACAGGAAGTACGGACCCAAAGTGGACACGTGGTCCGTGTGAGTCACGCCGTTATCGCATTATTAAAAAAAAGTACAGGGCTCTAATGTACTGTCTGAAAATATAACAACAGAAAATGTAACAACAAGTTTAGTTATTGTACACACTGTTGTATCTGTGTATTGGTTGCGTGCCTTCAAGGGGAATTGGCTAGTAGTGTGTGACGTGTGTCCGTGTGCGTTAGAGGCGTGAGCGTGTTCGCCATGCTGACCGGCACACTGCCCTTCACCGTGGAGCCCTTCGACCTCCAAAATCTGCACCACAAAATGGTGGCCGGCGACATCGCACACGTGCCCGGTGACATCAGCAAAGGTCTGCAACAGCAAAATCCTCGACGCTGCTCACAAAAAGTCAAGAAATTTGGGCTTTTGTCATTGAAAAAATAAATAAATTTGAGCCTTGTAGTTAGTGATAGAATTCAGTGACAGAGACACCTTGACGTAACATTTCTATTTTACCACGCAAGTGCGTCGGACACAATTATTTTTGGGTGGCGGGGCTGCTCTCTACCAAGTGACATTTGAGTTATGCGCCTGAAAGGTGCGGTGACGTTCGTGCTGTCTCTGCTGGAACCCGACCCTGACAAAAGACCCAGCATCCGAGCCGCCATGGAGGGGGGCTGGATCAACGAAGGCTATGCCAAGAGGCCGCTGCACACACTGTCGCCCAACAACAGGTCCGTGCGCTATGCTGCGGCGAGTAGTCAGGGACAGCTAACAGCCCAGTGTCTTCATTTGGTTGTGCCTCTCGAGGCTGCATGGCTTCCAGTAGTCGTAATAGGAGATTTTGTTTTGTTTTGTGGGTTTTTTTTTTTTTTTTTGGTCCAATAAGATTTCAGCTTTTGTGTTCGACAGTCGACCTAACCTGCCCAGCGCCTTCAAGATCAGGCCAGAGCACTGAGATCTGATTGGTTCATGTTTAGTCTTTCTGGTTTCTGTAACCGCGACATCATTGTCGTATTGGGGTGAGGTTAAATTCCAGCCCTCACTTCAAGCCCAAGTACCAAATTTTACTCTCACACCGACACAAACACGAACACACAAACACATACTCATGCTAACGTCGGTATTTTTCCTTTTGTTTCCCTTGAGAGAAAATTCCCCCATTGAGAACATTGTTGAGGTTTGTAATCTGAGAGCATTGAGCAGGAGGGAATGAAGGCAAATAAAAATTGTTGTGGTCGTCAGCTTGAAGGCTTTTATGGAGCGCTGTGGAAATATCATCTTGGCTAGCCGAGCAATGTTCCGAACACGCCCCCTAGTGGCTGTAAGGAGCCATGGGCTCTTTTGGGACGAGAAATCATTGCTTGGATATTCTGCCGCAGTTTCCAATGAACTGTCCAATGTGAACTTCTCCAGCTAGCTCAGTCTCATGTTCTTATTTTGCATTTTTGCACAGTTTTGCTGGTTTCTATAATTGTGACTGAAGGCCCAGCTAGCAAATGCACAACCCGCCTCACTAAAGTAGCACGCAGTCACTTGTCTGTCTTTCCTCGGCCCACAGGCTGCGCGTTGAGGACCTGGACCCGTCAGTGCTGGCGTACATGACTGACACGCTGGGCTACTTGACCTCGGAGGTCACGCGCACGCTCGTCGACAACCGGCCCTCTGCCATCATGGCAGCCTACCACTTGCTGCTCGCCAAAATCAAAAGGAGCCGCCGATGTGTCAAGGTTAGATCGTCGCTGTCGGGTTGGTTGGTTGGCAACAATTGGTCAGTCGTTGAATCAATCACTACATTAGATAGTTTATGAGTTGGTTCGTTAGTTGATCAGAGTTACTGTATTTTCCGCACTACAAGGTGCACCGAAAAGTAACATTTTTTTAAAAGCTCACAGCGCGCCTTAAAATCCGGTGCGCCTTGTGTATGGTCATTACGGTAATATGTCGACCCCAAGATGGCTCCTTGCTGGAGACATGCTTACAATGTTATAACTTATTGTTGGTTCAGTGAAATGTGTCGCTGCTTTATTAAATAAGTTTTTGTTGCCTCGTTTGTGAATACAGTACACAACAAAGGAATAAATAACAAACACTTCTGAGACAGTCCAGTCTCCTACATTTTACTGACATCGGATCGTTCCGTTGGCGCTACGCTCAAGGAAATGCCAAAATAAATTCTGTTGGGGGGCTACAGAATTTATTTTGTGATTTCCTCACTTGATTTTCTGTTTTGATGCATTATTTTCAATTTTCGTACTTTCATTGAGGTAATCGTTAATTTACATTTTTTCAGAGGTGGTCATGAACGCCTCTCGAGTCGAACGGAAGGAGCATAGCTCCATCTAGTGGATGCATTGCAGATTGCGTTTTATAATCCAGTGCATCCAATATATGAAAAAAAAATTACAAAATAGGCCATTCATTGAAGGTGCGCCTCATAATCCAGTGTGCCTTTTAGTGTGGAAAATACGGTACATTGTCAGTTGGTTAGCCCGTAAATTTGTAACGCCGCCGCATCGCCTCGTGTCAGAGTGACGCCGTCAAGGAGAAAAAGACGGCGAGCAGACATCTCAAGGAAAGCAAACAAGTGGCAGAGCAGCGGTGCGGCAGGACCAGACCCCAGCATCCACCACGACCACAAGATCAGGGTCATGATGATGATGAGGAGGAGGGGGACAAGGGAGGGGTGTCTTCCTCCCGCCACATTTTCAAACCCTCACCGTCACCACAGGCCACTGAGGACGCCGCCATCTTGAATAACAGGGACACTCTGCTTCTTCCCGACGGTACATCAGCCGTCCAAATGACGAAGTTTATTTTTTTATGACAACTTTTACAACTGCTGATGATGAATTCTATGAATCTTCTTATAGTGTTGGGATCAAAACACCGAGTGGTATATCTTTCTCCTCCCAAAACCGCTGAATCGCACCTGTGTGACTCCGCCCCTTGCCATGCCGCCTCGCCCGCTGAACCAATTGAAGACTACGGCGACTCGGTGCCTGTCCAACTGGCGCGGCAGCACATCGGGACCGCGCAGTCGGACGGCGGCGGGAGTCCCATGGAGGCCGTCCTGAGGTTTGACACACCACAGAAGAGCGTCGCTTCTCCCAGAATGCACCTGGAAACCACGCAAAGAGCTCCGCCCAGCATACTGCCGCGCTTACCCAACCAGAGGTTGAAAGACGGACGAGGTGGGAAGGTTTTGTGGGTCCCGCCAAGCCTGCTTGTGCCCGCTGGACTGCAATTGAGTGGGTCCAAAACTCCGACTTGCCCCTTGCAAAAAAACACTTTGGCTCCGAAGGGCGGGAAGGCGACGGGAACCAAGAGGAATTCCGTAGCAAAGTTCCACTCAACTCCGCAGCGACGGATGACCGAACTCAATTTGCCGCTGCTCCCCGCCACGCTGCAACGCAAGACGGACAGGAAGCTGCGCAACATGGACTGCTGACACATCAAAAAGTGGCCTGCAGAGCCATAAGGAGAATTTAAAAACTGCATGAACAGAATCTAAAATATCAAGACATTAGATGATCAACAAGGGCTCCTTTGCCAAGGTGATGGTGGGGCCTGCACATTGCCACTGGAGAGAAGGTCCGAAATACTATACATGGTCGTTATTTGGAGGCTAAAAACGCCTTAGTATACATGGTTATTTTTTTCGGTTTATTTTTCAGCTAAAAACGCCTTACTATACATGGTCGTTTTTTCCCCGCCAAAAACGCCTTACTATACATGGTCGTTTTTTTTCGGCAAAAAACGGCTTACTATACATGGTCGTTTTTTCGGCTAAAAACGCCTTACTATACATGGTCGTTTTTTTCCCGCCAAAACCGCCTTACTATACATGGTCGTTTTTTTCGGCTAAAAACGCCACACTATACATGGTCGGTTTTTTTGACTAAAAACGGCTTACTCTACATGGTAGTTTCATTCGGCTAAAAATGCATTACTATACATGGTCGTTTTTTTTTCCCGCCAAAAACGCCTTACTATACATGGTCGTTTTTTTCCCACCAAAAACGCCTGACTATACATGGTGGTTTTTTTTCGGCTAAAAACGCCTTACTATACATGGTCGTTTTTTTCGGGCTAAAAACGCCTGACTGTACTATGTCGTTTTTGTCGGGCTAAAAACGCCTTACTATACTATGTCGTTTTTTTCGGGCTAAAAACGCCTGACTGTACTATGTCATTTTTTTCGGCTAAAAACGCCTTACTATACTATATCGTTTTTTTCGGCTAAAAACGCCTTACGATTCATGGTCGTTTTTTTCGGCTAAAAACGTCTTACGATACTGTGTCGTTTTTTTCGGCTAAAAACGCCTTACTATACTATGTAGTTTTTTTCGGG